CCTGTTCCCAGCGTCCGCCTTCCAGCTGTTACGAGGGACGTAGCTGTGAGCGTCTGTGTGCCCGTTTCTGAGGGGATGGTTTTGTTTCCGCCGGGTGTGTGCTTAAGAGGCGAATGCCGAGCCCATGCTAAGTGTGTGCCTGACCTTTTCAGGAGCCCGCAAAGTGTTTTCCGCAGCAGCCACACCGTTTTACATTCCCACTCCAGATTCTCGCCTTTTTCTACTTTAAAAGACTCCAGGCAGAGGGAACACAACAGGTAAAGACCAGAGGCCCAGCAGGCGGTGCTTGGCTGGAGCTCACCACGGGCTGGACCAGAAGACACGAGAGAGACGGGAGTGGAAGCTGATGCCCAGTGGTGGGTGGCAACGAGGGCTCGGGTGGCTGGGCCGTGTTGCTATGCGGAGGGAGTGGAGATGCTTGGAAATGCTTTGCGGTGGTGAGAATATGGCTTGTTGGGAGAGTGTCTGTGTATCTGGAATTACCTGAGAAGGCCTGGAGGAGTGACACCAGTGACAAGGCCATTGCAGGACACCCAGGAGGCCATGGGAGTAGTCAGGTGGGATTGCCATGAGGGCTGGAGAGAAGAGACAGGCAGAGGACACAGCCTGGGAGCATCTGCAGTCCGGGCAGGGGCGGGAGCAGCCTTCGGGGTGGTGGGTGGGAAGAAGACAAAGGCAGAAAGGGTTATCCAGGACTCAGGAGAGAAGAGGCAGGTCCTGAGTTGTTTACCAAGAATTTACATTAAAATAACACAAGCTAGGCTGGGTGTTGTCACACCTGTAATCCCAGCACTTTGGGAGGCCGAGGCAGGCGGATCATTTGAGGTGAGTGGTTTGAGACCAGCCTGGCCAACATGGTGAAACCCTGTCTCTACTAAAAATACAAAAAATTATCCAGGCGTGGTGGCGTGTGCCTGTAATCCCAGCTACGTGGGAGGCTGAGGCACGAAACTCACTTGAATCTGGGAGGCGGAGGTTGCAGTGAGCTGAGACCACACCACTGCACTCCAGCCTGGGGGACAGAGCAGGACTCTGTCTCAAAAAAAATAAGCTATTGATGGGCTATATATTGTTAAGCTGTAGGATGTGGGTTGTCGTGTCCAGTATAGCATTGTTCGATTAATTTACAGCCTCTTGTGGCAACAGCAAGCAGTTTCCAGAGATGAATATGCAGCTTGAGTATGCAGGGCGGATAGGACATGACGGCTGCCTCATCTTAACGCCTCGGGCCTGATAATTTAAAAGGACTCACAGTCCTCAGATAAACATGACTTTCTTTTCTCATGAGGAAACACAGAAGGTGGCTAAAAGGTACCTGTTTCTCTCATGACACCCATCCTATCAGGTTTTTGTTTCCCACACCGCCCAGTTTTCCAACTCCTTGGACGCCAGCTGGATGTCCTGGAATTCCATTCAATTCTGAGACTCACCACCTGGGTGGCAGTGCACCGTCCTCCCTCCCGGCATCTGGATGAGTTCACCACCCTGGGAGTTCCTGGAATCCCGTCATTTAGGATGGCTGTGGAGGTTCCATTACGTAGGCATGGGGCTGCGGGAGAGTTTTCCGCTCAGCCTTACAAGCGTTCGCTGAAAAGGCAGCTCACAAAAGGCAGATTAACTGGAGAAAAGGCACACAGGTTAATGTGTATACAAGAGGGCCTTCAGAAAAATCGCTCATTTTTATGCTTAGGTTCAGTGAAGTATGGGCAGCCTTGTAGAAACAGGACTGGATGCTTGGCTGGATCGGATGCTAACGGACTGAGTGGGAAAACCCAGCCTGGCCTCTGTATGTCTGGATTCTCCTCGGCCTCTCTGAGCAGCGCCCTCTCCTGGGTGTGGGTGGGACCCTCTCTGGAATGGGGGTCTTAGGAGCTACGGCCAAGCCAGGGAGGTCAGACCATTTCTTTACGGCCAGTTTGTGGACACGGAGGCACAGGGAAAATCAGAGCCCTAATTTTTGGTTGTTTGTCTGGCTTTGGGGAAGGGGGCTCTGGTTTCTAGGACCCACTGTGGGGAAGAAGGATTCCCGTTTCTGTGGCACCTTGAGTGAGGGTGGTACTGAGAGACAGAGGTGGGAGAAGCTCAGAGAGAAACGTGCTTCGGAGGCTGCTGCGGAGGCCCTCATTTTGGAGTATGATCTTCTGAGCCCCAACATACGCACCAAAAATAGCGTCCTAAGGCCCCCAGTGACTGCATGGACCCCCTCTTGGACAAGGGGACCCCAGAGAAACCTGGAAAACAGTTCCTGGCCACAATGGTTTTCATTAACAGAATAATTGGTTAAATTCTTGGCCATCGGTAATCAGTTCCATCTCCAGCTCCTGTCCTCTCTCCCCTCTCACTTCCTGGAGGTTGGGGTGGATCTGAAAGTTCTCACCTGTAAGTCCTGCCTTGGTCTTTCTGGGGAGCAGTCCCTTCCTGAAGCTGCCCAAGGGTCATCAGCTCTGTCCTCTCGTCAGCACACGAAAGACACGCTCACCACTCAAGAGGTTCCAGGGCTCTTAGAAGCTCTGGTGTTGGGAATCTGGGACGAAGACCAAATCTATATGTTGTTATTATCACAATACTATGGCAACGGTCTGCAAACCAGGAAGAGAGTCTCACCAGACGCCAGCCATGCTAGCACCCTGATGTTGGCCTTTCTGCCTCCAGGACTGAGTGAGAGAATGTTTGTGGGGTGAGCCCTGGTCTGTGGTGTGCTTTACGGGCGGGACCCCTGTGAGCCCCGAGTCAGCACTTGCTGCCTCCCTGCTCTCAGAGGCACGTGGCCTTTCCCTGTGGAGGGTTGGGTGAGATTGCCCTTGCACTGACAGCAACTGAAGAAGGATTGAGGGCCCTAGATCTCTGGGTGCAGGGCGCCTGGTGAAATGACCTGCCACGCATGACTGATTTTCAGCCAAAGATCACTTGTAGCTTACCAAATATGCCAGACCAAAAGCTAAAACCAAAAGTTGAGAGAGAATCTTCATTTTACAAATGGAGAAATCAGAGCATCCTAATGGTGAGCGACTTGTTTAAAAAGGAAAATTCTGTATGGCTGTGGGTCTGCAGCTGCTGTCAAAGGATTGCTTTCAGTAACTTGCCAGTAATGGTGGAGCAGTTGTGCTTGCTTCCTAGTCAGAGAGCATGTCAAATAAAAGAACCCTAATTTTGGAATTTTGAGTTCAATTCCTAGCTCCTGAAAAATGATTTCAAACTTAGAAATTGGTTCCAGCAACATTATGAGTCAAGAATGAAGGTAGAATAAAGATATTTTCTGGCATTCAACCTTCCAAAACATTTACCTGTTTAAACTTCTTTTAGAAAGTTACTTGAGGATGTGCTCCAGCAAAATGAAGGAGAAAATAAAGAGGAAGACCTGGGATCCAACAAATAGTGGATTCAACTGAGAAAAGTTGTGGAGGGAAGTCCCAGGAGGAGAGCTGCACACTGGATCCGAGAGAGTGGCACAATGGAGGCTGCACATGGGGCTCATCCTGAGGAGACGCCCTGGCATAATGGAGCACTAGGGGTGAAGGCAGATAGAAGATAGCTGGGAGACTATGAACACACATGAGCATGTATTGTGAGAAAAAAAAAGTCAAAACTATCAGGGTGGGCAAAGGGCAAGGGGAAGCTGTTGATGGAATGAAAAATAACCATCATGCTTTGTTTGGCTCAGTAATAAGCAATATTAACTTAGTCATGAAAATGTAAATACTAACTATAGACTTAACTAAAAATAGAGATATAATTATAGTGTGGATGTGGAAGTAGGGGAGATGGAGCTAAAATGCCTGTCCAGCAGGAAATAAACAGATAATGTCTAAAAAATGGATAAGTCAAGCAACAAAAATAGAGGCATATGATTTTGTGATAAAACAGTCATGACCAGAAGGAACAGCTTTAACAGGGACAAGTAGTTGCTTTTGCAAAAAGAGAATTAGGACGTGGCTGGGTGGGAGGCAAGTGACTGTCAGCTCCAGGATCCACATCTGGTCCTGCTTTATTCCACAGTTCAAGTGTATTGTGTAAAGATCGATATTTTAATTAAAGTGTAATAAGGTGAGATAATTAAATAGTAAAAAAATTAATAAATAAAACAAAGCTGCCCATTCCCGTACCTCGTTGCTCAGCTTCCCGCAGCCCCCAGGCCCCACCCCGAGGGCTTCCTGCAGGACAGAGCACATTGCAGCTGCCACAGCAGGAACTGGATGCACTGGTCAGTCACAAACCACAAAGCAGAACTGGAAGCTAGTGGAGTGGGGGAAATATTTGCAGTAAATATGACACAAAGATTAATAGCTACTTATAGATTTCACATCTATTAAGGTTCGTCTGTAAAATCACTGTGGTTGGGGTTTGGAACACAGAGACACTCACACATGAAGCAGTGTTGAATACACGGGAAAGACACAGTCGTATGTGCAGGGCACACAGGAGCAATGCAGTGGGCACGGGTCAGCACACATGGCCCAGGAGATGCAGGGAAGCCGAGCACCACTCTGCCCACTCGAATGCCCAGCTCTGCACTCGGCAGCCACGGCGAAGAGGGCAGCCTTGGAAGCAATCTGACAAAACCTAGGGGTGAATACAGGAGTTCACACCTTTGACTCACTCTCCCACCAGAAAGTCACGACAGGAGGAATGATGAGGCTCTGGGTGGCAAATGCATAACAGGAGACAATCCAAATATCCAGCAACGAGGCATTAAGTAGATCAAGGCACATCTATTTGTGGCTTATGAGTTACTGGGTGGACGTGGGGTGGACACGGGGAGCCCACTGGGCCGTAGCCCCCATCCTCCATTCCCACCACACCCCACGGCTCCCTCCTCACTGGGGTGGACCTTGTACAGTTCTACCATCCAGCAGCCATGTAAGTATCTGCCAGATTAAATTCCACATCCACTGAAGGATGAAGACAGCAGACAACACTTTAGGCAGATTTCCCCCTCTAGTCTCTCTGTGAGCTCCACCTGCAGGCGCTGCCTGTAGGGCCTGGCATACTCAGGGCCTGGCAGACTCAGGGCCCAGCACACACGGGGCACAGCACACTCAGGGCCTGGCATACACAGGGTCTGGCACACACAGGCCCAGCACACTCAGGGTCCAGCACACTCAGGGCCTGGCACACACAGGATCTGGCACACACAGTGCCTGGCACACACAGTGCCTGCCAGCCACAGGCCCAGCACACGCAGAGTCCTGTACACTCAGGACCTGGCGCATACACGGTCCAGCACACACGGTGCCCGGCACACACAGGGTCCAGCACACACAGGGTCCAGCACACTCAGGGCACAGCACACTCGGGGTCTGGCACACTCAGTGCCTGGCACAGTGGGGGCAAAACACACACAGGGCATGGCACACTCAGGATCTGGCACACTCAGGGGTTCCAGGGCTCCAGGATATTAATGCTGGTGCCTGGAGTTCTTAGGGGTGTCTGGGGGCACAGAAGAGGGGCTGGCTGGGCCTCCTGGACAGGGTGAGGGTGGGGCGTCACATTCTGTTTAGAAAATAAGGAGTGTTTTTAAAAAGCAGTAAAAACCGTAAAAGGAAACCCCTCAGGGCCACATCTTGAGGTTTACCTGGACGTGACCCTGAAAATACATGTCCGTGTCTTTCCCA